ATTTTGATGGATTTGTGGGCTGGGCTACCCGGCGGCTCGCGGTTGACCCTGAGCCCATTGCATGGAGGCATTGCAGAACGGCGCTAATGACGTTTTATTGTTTTGTGATGCGTAAAATGTTTTGTTGACGACGTCGACTGGCTAATTTTGAGCTGCGACTTGCTTGAATGCCTCTTACAAATCGAGTGAGTCTTCTGATTGCCCGAGCACACAAAGACAAGCCCAGGCCCCACAAAGCGAGCGGGCCAGACAAAGGTCCAACGAATGCGGGAAGTCGTCAGCGAGCGACTCCTCAGCTTGATGAGCGGCGATTCATTTCCGCTCATCACTTCTAAATACAAATTTAATATGCTTTATATACGCATACATGTGCATATATAGACACACATATATGGACTACGTGTGTGTCCCCTGCTCCTGTCCTGTAGTTCTCGTTTCTGGTTCTCGGGGCCTGGTCGCAAATTTGCGCAGTGAACTGTAACCGAAAGTTAATTAGCTCAACGAAATCGTCGCAGTTGCAGTCGCATCCCAGTCGAGGGAACTCAATGTGACGAATTCTCAGTGTCTCTTCAAAAGGCAAAACATGTAAAGTTTGAGTGTATCAGAAACATTGACGAACCGTGTTATAAGGGTCGACTGGCTGCTTAGATAGGAAAAGGAAATCTTCATGTCGGTCTTCTTTGTGAGAGAAAACAAAAAGGGTTCGACTTTGCTGGGAACACAAAATGGAACTATCGTCGAGTGTCTCTTAAGGAGCTAAAGATAAGTCAAGAAAACAAGCAGCACAACATTTGGAAGTGAAAAGTAATTTATTTCAGAAAACAATTACAATTATAAAAGTGAGAAGCAGTTAAAGATTATACTAAAAGACGACCAAGGCATAAAAAGAAAATAAATAAAATAAAAAGAAAATAAAAAAATTCAATAAAATAAAAAATTAACAAAATGGCTATCGGAGACCACAGTGCTATTGACATCAATTCTACAAACACTTTTTTCGCTGCTACACAACACTACAATTGCAAAGTTCAAGACTGTTATTTAATGGAATAGCTTTTCCGGCTGCACATTTGTTCTATTTTCTAAGCTCTGCTGACAGCCTGAAATATTTGGGATACTTTAACAACAACTTTTTACTAATTAAGCGCCCCACACGCAACAACAACCAAAATAGAACTGTGGAAAACTTCAAGTTAAGGCCACGAAAAAAAAAAAATAGAAATGTGCCACCATATAAAAACAGCGGAGGCAACAACAAGAGCAAAGCTGGCGCCAAGTCATTACATGAAAAAATTCTCAACTACATGCCAAGGCACATACACACTTACACACACGCACACACACATAGCTACAGTGGCTCTTTTTATGAGCCGCAACACTTGAAAATTTTTCACAAGTACACGACGACGTTGACGCTGACGCTGACGTAGGCGCTGACGTCGACCGCAAGAAGCAGCAGATATAATTTTCCTTTGCTGCATTTTTACAACTTAACACACAGAAGAAAATAAAGCAGCATAAAAACCTGGCAAACAATAAAAACAAGAATAAAACTAAAAAAAAAAATAAAAAAGAAGACAATAAGAACAAGCAGCAAGAAAATAAAGGCAAGCAGCCAGGGTAGGCGACGGGGGCGTGGCAGCTATTTGGCTGCCCCGAAAATGTTTTCCTTCTGTTTCTTTTCCCTGGCCATGCACGACTGCTGCCGCCAACGCCATAGGGGCAAAAGTGCCTGTGTGTGTGTGTGTGTGTGGAGCAGGGAAGCGGGCGCTGCACAAATTGTAGAATTTGTGGCACCTGTGCGTTGTATCTGCGGCCGCGCATCTGTATCTTTGTATCTTTGCCGACGAGCCAAACAAATAAACTGGCGGCCAAGTTATGACAGTCAGCAGCGGCCGCAATGTCGACGCGTCGGCCGCAGGAAACATTATTCTTAGTTAGATGCTAATTAATTAAAGAAGCAGAACCCGTAACACACACACACACACACACACACATAGACCAACCAACCAGGGGCCATTCTTCGGTGGCAAATATGTGGGCAGATACGACACAGCAAGACGATGTCGAAGCAACGCTGCATGACATACTCTCAGTGCATGATGAGCATAAATTTTCCCTATGTGTCTCGTTGTGGGAGGATTCGACGCAGGAAACGTCGGATTGACCGCAAACAGAGAAGAGATGTGGGAGGCTGCAGTAGCAGGAGCTAAGAATAGCAATGGGCATGAAATATAACAGGAATCGGAATAACAAGCATTTACAAACACTTGGAATTTGATAGAGCTGCAAACATAGGCGTTTTGAAAAGATAAAACATGGAATTGCTTTTCTTTTAAAAGACTAGACACATTTAGAATATTGAATTATTTCAATTAAACATGCCACTATTCTTCTTAGCTGAAAAACAATGTTGACTAATAGTAAAAGTATCATAATAAATGGAACTCATCAGATCAGCAACAACAGTCGAGTTGGTAAAGCCGTGTCCGGCTGTTTCTATCTGAACTAGTAACGCAGTCTTACAGCAGCTATTATATTGAAACACTATATCATATAGCTACCATTGAAACAATCGGTTTTATGGCAAAACATTCTGTTTGCCAAGATATTTTGATCAAGCTGCATTTGTGAGCTTCACTTTTCCCACATATTTGAAAAATCGTAAGGCAAATGTCTACAAGATAATTTAATCTTTGGCATGCCGAAGGTGTCCCCACTTTCTCGTTTTTAATTGTTATTTAGAAATGAATTTATAATTACAAAATGAGTTTAGCTAGAGCAACTGGGGCCTATAGAAACAGATAGTTCTTAGTTCTTAGTTCTTCCGGAAACCATACATAATTTATTACAACTTTATTCCTTTACTAAATACCAATAGAATTTCTTTATAAAATATTTAGTTTACTCAGCATCAACAAAATATATTTTAAATGGAAGTTCGCTTTCTTTGCAAGAATGTCAAAAAGATTTCGTAGCTCGGCAAATCTATAATCTATAAGACAAAGCCATTCAAGTATCTGTATATATTGGCAATTCGTACAATGTCCAGTAAAATAACAACAAAATAACAAACAAGATAGCGCCAACTTTTATCATAATGCTAATAAAATGAATCGACCACAAGAAAAAACAAAAACAACAACAACAACAATAACAAGGCGAAGAAGAAAAGTTTTTCAAGATTATTATGATGATTGCGCCCCAATGGCGCCCCAGGCAATAGCCGCTGCCCCATCTTTAAGTCGTTGCGTTGCGGCTGGCAACTTGTTTACATAAATTTTAATTGCTGTAATTATGATTTTTACACGAAATTAATTATGCATGCGCAGTAGCTGCATTAGCTATCGGATAAAGATTCAGTTTCGGATTGAGATTTAAACACGCAACAGCGTTTCAATAAAAACTAATTTGCCTGCCCAAACAGCAAAGAAATTTACGCGCATGTTGGCCAGATCTCTATAGAATTTTGATTGCCAAACATAATTCCACTTAATTGCCTGACAGCACAAGGAAATTATGAAATTGCAGTGGAAAACTATCTTAAGTACGCTCGCCTCGCCAGCCATGTGTGAACTTGCCAACTCGCAGATACGTAGATACATGGCTGTATCTGATAAAGATCGTGTAAAACTGTTGGCGGACCCGAAGCGTTACAAACTGTTTGAGGAAAGATTTTTCTCTGGCTGATAAAAAAAAAAATGTATTTCTAGTTTTTGTTGTTTAATTTTGTTTTTTCTTGTTGACCTGCTTTGGGGCTGGCGTTGACGGCTGCTGCTGCTGCTGTTTTGTGTCCATAAGATACAGCAGGTTATTTTGATTAGCCTGGCATGTTGACAGTTTGACTTTACTTAATTTGTGTTTAATTAACGTTTAGTCTGCGCACTAAATTCCACATGCCACACGATTGTGTGCGGCAGCCAGAAGGGGTAGACGATTGAAAGAAATGGGAGAAATAGTAGAAGCTTGGCAATAGTTTAATAAATCATTCGTTCACATACTGTTCCATGGAATTGATAACTATTTTTATATGGCAAACACTTGTAAATAGTTGCAATGGAACTTGCACCATGAGTAATATTTAGGCAAACAACTGAACAGAAAACATTTGTATCCACTTCTGACTTAATTCATTAAAAGAAACTGGTTTCATTTTTGCTCGACTAATTGGCAAGAAAATCAAATCGACGACGAGTTTAAGCATTTGCTGCTTTTTTTTTATTCACTCATCGATTATTTAAACAATGATTTGTTTATTTGTTCAGTCGCTCGATTCACTTTACCAAAAGCCTGTCATAAAAACAACAGCTACGGCAAACGAGACTTTAAATGTTTTCTATGTGCTACGCAAATTGATTTACGGAGCCACAGATTAGGTATATTGAATACTGCAAGAGCCATAAATAACATTTGATTTAATACAATATTGGGAAAATATGCATGGATGGAAAAATTGAATATTTAAATAAATTACTTTTCAATCTACTCGGAAGAATATTTCTAATATAATTAAAAAATTGTTGGGAATCCAAATTGATTCAGATAAAGTTGTGGACCAACGATTTAATGTTGCAAAATCTTCAAAATTAATTTTATATAAGTAAATATTGATAACAAATATTTATGAGCGCAATTGCTAAACATTTAATCTGTGTAAAATATCTCTATTTAAATTTCTTGAAAATGTCTCTCAGAATTTTATTAAAAGAGTTAAGGTATATTGAACGCAAAAAAGATATTTATTTAGTTAAACATTTACGTTTTTCACAAATCTTAAAATGATTTATCAAAACTTTACTTTAAGTTCACTTAAAACAATATTATTTTAGTAAATAAAAAAAAAAAAAAAATTTGAGGAAAATATATTTTCAAATTAAATTATATTCAATACAGAAAATATATTTATTTGAATATTCAAGCCTTTCACAAATCTGAAAATATTTATCTCTAGCTTCACTTTAAGTCACTTAAAACAATATTCTGCTTTGAGTTCGACTTACCTAATTTGAAAATATTTGTCGCATCAAATGTTTTCAGTTATATTGTTTAGATTGTATCCTTTGCATATGTGTAGCATTGTATATGGGTTACATATATATTTATATATAGTTATGTATATATTCATATAATATTTTGAATAGTTAAAAAGCGTTACACAAATGCATTGAAGCGTATTTGGGGCACAGACACATGCACACAAAATTCTCAACACAATTTTTAAATGCAAACTAAATGCAGTCGAAGCTGTTGCAATAAATTTTATTTAATTTTTTTTTATTTTTTTTTTGCACTGTTGCACGTAGCTCGTGTATCTTGTGGGTTGTTTTGATATGTTTAGCACTCTCTGCTGAGATACTTTTGTATTGCGGCTGACTTAGTTACATGCCGACAGCCTTAGGCGGGGACACACTTTGCGTTTATTTATCGGATATTCAAATTTGCATTGCTTGGCTGGCGCCGACCAGTGCACAGGTGCCGCATTTTGTTGTGGCCAGCTTTAAGATACTTTTACGCAGTATCAGTATCTGTATCTTTCACACACTCACGCGAAAACACGTAACGCGACGCGCACCGAATCTGAATTGAACTAAACTGTGCTGAGCGTTGTTGTTGCCGCCACGAGCGTTGGGATGAGACTGAAACTGGACAAGACGAGTTGCCACTGTTGCAACCACCATCGCCTTAGCGAGCGCGACCGAGTTGTTGCAACAAGCGCCGACGTTCGCTGCGTTTTCTGTTTGCTGCCGCTGCCACTGCCACTGCTGCTGCCACTGCTGCTGCTGCTGCTGCTGCTGCCTTTCGCTTGTTGTAACGCGCCGAACGAAGGTTGACGAGCGATTGAATTGAACGAACGTTGTAAAGTTGCTCAGGAGCCGCATATCGGACGCGGACCGGCCATGTAACCGAACAACGGCATTTGCCCTCTGTGGATCTCAAGCGGAGAGCGTCAGCGTGAAGTGAAAGAGAGGGACATGGCCTCTAAGTAAAGAGCGAGAACTGTTTGTGGAATGAATTAAGCTGTGGATGGCAGCGTTACCGGGTAGAAATTGACAATATTATTAACAGAGATTCATTGGGGTTTCTGCTCTTATCAAAAAATCTAAAAATACAATAATTTTTCTTAATATTTAAAAACATTTATTAAGACATTTTTTAAACATTTATTTATTTACTTGTTTCATGTTTATAAGTATTTTTCTTAATTTTTATTGTTAATTTGGCGACCTCTTCTTTTTTAAATCATTTCCTATTTGGAGCTCGAGCCTTAATAAATTTATTTTAATATTTTTTTTGTTTGTTTATTTATTTTAATATTGTTTTTCAAGATCTTGTCAAACTTACCCAAACAATTTATTTTTATTAAATACCATAATAATATGGTTATAATATTCCATAGTTATATTATTTTTTTTTTTTTACTTTGTTGTTCATTTTCTTTTCTTATAAAATAATTCAAAATATTCCTTACTTTGCTACTCTTTGGCTGTTTTTTGTGGTACTCTGACCGATTCACCTGTCCAATTTAACTTTAGTTGGAATACAACTTCCGCTCTTTTGCTCTCTTGCTCTTAGACCAACTCACTCTCTTTTACAAACAAGCAGCCCGGCAGACGCTCTCTTGCCCGCCAGTAGTAGAGTTTTCATTGCCATTTTGTTCCAATTGTGGCACATTTTGGGAAATGCTTGAAACAAAACAAATAGCGCTTCAAACTGTTGATTTGGATAGCTATCCGTGAGATACATTTGGTTGAGATACATTTGGTTGAGCTGTTATCAGAGCGCTGTCTGAAATACTCAATTCAAATGTGGACTTCATTGTAATTAAAATAATAGAAATTAAATAATTATTAACTTTAATCGAATTAAGTAGTTCGTCCGCGTTGCCTTGCCACCTGGCTGTTATCAGTTGCAGCTAATCTGCGGCTTGATGCATTTCCAATAATTGCCAAGCGCATTAATCAAGATATTCACACGCGCGCGCGCCAAACATGCTGCCAGATACAAGCCGCAGATACAGATACAAAGTGCGTAACGCGCCGCAACTTGTCATAATGAGGCATTAAAAAGCAGCTTAGTGCCGTCGAGATTTGCCGCCAGCCCGAAGCTGGAGACAGCGACAGAGACAGAGACAGAAGCTGAGAACAGCGAGAAACAGAGCAGAGCAGAGCTGAGCATGAGAGCAGCGTGCGATCTCGCCATGATTTATGACGAGCCGTCGTTTGTTTGCGATACAAACTCTCAGATAGAGTCTTAGCCGGCAGGGGTAGGGGATAGCAGGAGGTTGCCGGGCGCGGGGTACAGCCATAGGCTGAGGGGCACTTGTTGTAGATGGTATCGTGTCGCGCTTTACGTTCCCAGTTTGATTGATTGGTCCGTTCACACACACACACACACAGGCTGTGTTTGTTTTGGGTTTTGTTTTATGATATGCCCAGAACCCAGTCAAACAGTTTTTACTTTCGAATATTTCGACCAGGTGACACAGCAAAGGTAAATGCGTAAGCACAAGACTTGATCAAATCAGTTAGCTTCGAAGGGATAAGCCACTTGACCCACATTTCGCTTTTATTGAACACATAATTATTCACAGTGCCAGATTATAGGAGAACATTAATGAAAGAATTCTAAGCTATAAATATAACTAATATACTTGACTTTTGATTTGAAATAGGAAACCAATAATAATAATAATTAAATAAAATATTTAAAAAATTTTAATCAATGTTAATCCATATTAACATTCACACAAAATTAGTTTTAAAATGTTGTATTATATTAAATGTAAACTTTATTAAAGTATATATATTCCTGTCTCTCAGTTTTACAGCTTTTGTCTTGAAACTTTTTATGGGTCTGTCTTTCTGTTGCGTCCGAATTCTATAATCGGATAAACTATGTATATTATAAAGCTTCCATAGTTACAATCGGTCGAAAAGTAGGTTCTTTTATGGCAAAACATTCTCTTTTCCAAGAGATTTACATGAAACTCTGAATTTACGAGCTTTACTATTCTCACATATCTGAAAAATAGTAAGACAAATGTATACAACTTAATCTCTCGTTTAATTTGTATTCGATTGTTTTTAAGTCAGATATGTTATAAAAAATTTAAATGTTTAGTTTTTTAAATTTTCTCTGAAATAATCATATTTGAAGCTGAAGTTAACTTGATTATTGCGTTCATTTAGGCGAGGAAAGAAAATGTGAAAAATAATTATATTTGTAATGACAAGAATTCCTTTTATGTAGGCCAGATACGTTGTCTTCTTTCTACACTATCGTGCAGAGTTTTTTAGCCTTCTACTCCAGCTAACAGTTCTGAGGGAACAAATATCGTAACTCATGTTAGTCTGCTGACTTGTAAGAGCATGTCCATCAATTTAAGCTCATGCAAACGCATCTGAAAATTGCTTAAGATATTATCTGCCTGCATTATCAGTACAGTGCAAGTCGAATCGTTGAGACTATCTTGACTGGATCTGGGCGCAAGCAAACAGCTAAATATGAAAATGAAACATCTATGCGTGGGGATACGAATGTCTCGAGTGATAAATTTATCGAATTGTGTAAATATTCATTCATGATAACGCGCCAGTTGTCGTCTGTCGTGCATTTGTATATTTATTTAGCCAACTCGCTGATTGCATTTTTGTGTAAATTCTTGCCACAATAATAATCAACGTCCAGGCAGCTCCTCAGAGTCGGCTCTGTCGGAGTGTTTGTTTATAATGCTCCTAGCAAAACGCAAACAATGCGACGACAGTGGCGCATGCGCAACAGTTTTGGGCTGAGTTATTGAATGAGCCGTCTGCCCCGCCCCGCCCTGTCCTGCCCGTCTGGCCTGTCATATATATTTTGAGCGCATTTGTTTGCCTGGCAGCTAGGCAACAGTTGCAAGTTGCAGTTGCCGATTGGCCCTTCGCACTTGGCACTTGGCTTGTTTGCTTAAATGATAAATGGCTAATTGATAAATTTGTCATTTGCTGCATTTCTGTTTGGTTTGTCACAGTTGCAGACATTTGCCATTTCCGGGTACAACAACTTGTTTGCATACTTTGTTTTATGTGCATCTAAGAATCTTGCTTTACATTTAACTTCTGATGTAAGGAGTTGGTTTTATAGGTTTTATAGGAGGTAAAACCAAAAAAACTTGCTCCTTACATTTCAACAAAATCTTTTCAATATCTGTATCTTATAGCTCTATATGGAGAATCGTTCGATGAAGAGGTTCTTGTAGAAATATATCTTCATCGAACTCAGCGTAACGAGTTTTACTACCTATAGGCACAATCGGTAGGAAAAGAGCATTTCTCAGTAAAATAACTTAAAGGGTATTCAATCTTCAGCGTGCCGGAGATAGCTGAACTCTCTCAAATTTACATTCAATTTTAAACTTTAATTATTATTTTTTGGTTTTAAGCTAAAAATCAAATTCAAACTGAAGTCGCTTCACTTGCAACCGTCTCTCTCTCTTTCTCTCTCTCTCAGAGAGTTTTAAATCTTTCATACAAAACTATAAAAAGTTTCTTCTTTATAAGATTTTAACCAATGCGAAGAAATAATTAGATATACTAATAATACTAGCTACTAAATACCTTACCAGCCTGCCACACTTTAAGTATCTTTAGTTATCTGTGGGTCTTCTCTCCCTCTCGCTCTCTCTCTCTCTCTCTCGGCCTGACTCATAAATTTAGTTTAACGCGTGCCACTCACAAAGTTTGCGACCGCACTTCGGAAACTTGCAAGTAAGTTGCCGCCCCTTTTCCCCTTCTGGCTCTCTCTCTCTCTCTCTGCCATCCGCTTACATCAAATCAATTGCCGCCCCCAGTGCGACTCCTCGATATGCGGCTCACGTACGCGTATATCAATTGTTGCTGCCAGCTCTAGGCAAATGATGGCCCAACTTGCCTGACTGTCTGTCTGTCTGACTGCCCGATTGACTGACTGACTGACTGAGCGATTGACGGGTTGCCTGCTACACGACTTGCCTGTCTATATGTCCCTCTGCCTATATATAATATTGATTCTTTATGCATATCAACAGCTCTTTGTCTGCGCAACCTGTTTGCTATTTTAATGTTCATTTAAATCGAAGTTTTCT